GGTATAATAGGTCATGTGGTGTTGTTCATCTGAGGTTGAATTTACCTAATGTCAAGACCTGCTAAGGACCAGATGATTTTTATCATGTCCTCATACTTAATACCATAGAATTCAAAGGGGGTGTACTTTCTTTTTCACACGACTGTATACAGAATCCTCATATATATGATGGATCACCGTGGAGGGACAAACATAAATCGACAACCATGTCATTCTGTCCTAAGCTGAAGACATGTCATGTCAGGTGGCTCCATTATAATAAAGAGAACCTGTCCAGATATAAATATATGGGATGCAATTGTGGACCCCTTTCTGAAGATACTGATTGTCTGGCTTCAATGCATTCAGAGTCATTGTCCTGATGTATGTAAACAGATCAGGAGTTCAGGTATCTCCTACTGCAGATTTGGGTCACATGATTGTAAATGAACAGTATAATGAGACTGGGTTGTTCATTCCCCAACAGTTGTGTTCCAGTTTCCGGTAGAATGATGTGTCTAGAGGAAACTGCTTAATGTTGGCTCCAGATTTCAGAAACCAGTCCCATCATCATTCTGAAAAGTGTCCCTCTCTCTCTCTCATATAGCTATTGTAAGAAAACAAAAAGAATTCTACACCAGACTGAACGTCACTCACAATCTCAGGAGCTCAGAATCCCTGCAGGCGGCTAGCAGGAGAACAATGACCAGGCGCTTATGTTTGATTCAGCTGCAAGGAATAAAAACACAGGTGTTAACACCATAACTGAATGTGCCGCAATGATAAACATACACGTCTCCTAGTACTAAACATACACGTCTCCTAGTACTAAACATACACGTCTCCTAGTACTAAACATACACGTCTCCTAGTACTAAACATACACGTCTCCTAGTACTAAACATACACGTCTCCTAGTACTAAACATACATGTCTCCTAGTACTAAAACATTTGTTCCCTTCTCCAAATTCTTCACCCTTTTGTGAATAACCCTATAAAAAGAAGACCTGCCTTATGTGGGGGGAACCCTGACCTCAGAAACCTATAGCTGGTACACTTGGGTGGCTGTTGATTAGTTCACAACATTACTTGCATTTAAAAGCAGTAAATGGAAATGAACTGAGCGCCGGAATGGTCAGAAATCTTATTTACACCATACACAAGGTTATTTAGTGCTGAATGCAATGCTATTGCACTGGGCGCCATCTGATCTATCAATGTGCCCAGTGCATCTAACTTCAGCAAACCTTATGTCCTAATGTCTCACTACAGTAAACTGATAAGCCAATTGGCTTCTACTTGCTGGTGTGCAATGTATAAAAATGCTGATGCCGGATTTTCTCGTTATGGTGCTTTACATTATAAGCCTTATTATACATACAGTATTACAGATCTCAAATCACAACCTAATAACACATGCAGTGAAGTAATAACTTATTTTCATGGAAAGGTTCTTTGTAATCTCTGCTAGGTGTGAAATACAGACATACATAGCAGGCTAGCGCCACAGCTAACCTCTGACAACAATACCTCAGGTGTCAAGTCTCCTGTACAGTATCCATGCATTAGATTTCCACTTTATGGATCCTTAGACTTCTAATATACTTATTTTTGAGTCATCAGTTTTGACACTTTACACGCCTTTGTTTTACGGGGACTCGTAGTACACACAAGTAAATGATTCAGGACAGTAACGTATCCCCCGGCTCCCCTTTCCCTTCTGATCACCTTGGTCTGAGGTTTCGATGAGACAGTGTATGTGACAGGAGGTAACTACTGCTGTGTTGTCTCTTTAGATAACCCATATTGCTCTAGGAATCCTTTTTATTTTACAAATAACCCTGTAATGAATGACAGATTGTACTCCACAGTGAAAAAGCACGAGTATAAAAACTTAACTACGGTAATCAAAAAACTGCAACCACTATAGTTTCACTTTAAAAGAAAATCCCTTCTGTAGAAGAACACAGGAACTGCCATTTCTAACTTATTCTGCAAATACTAGCAGCCAGGCTGTCATGCTGACCCTAGTTCTTCACCAACTCAGAGCAGGTATGTACATGGGAACTTCTGACTTTCTAATCGGCGTACTTATTTCAGGTCAGTAACTCGAAAAGTATGGAAGTCAGTGGTAATAGCCAGGCATGTTCAAAAGAAGGGTCAGAAAAGACACCTGGTGTGTTCCCCTCAGAAAAAGGTTTATATTAATGAAAGGAAAAGCATAGCAGAGTGTTTCCTTAATGCAAGGAGTATTGGGAACCTTCAGAGTCATGGAACCTATAGAAACTTGTCTAGGGCAAACAGAACTAAAATGGTGATTGCTACGAGCTGATAATAAGCCGACGGGTTGTAATAGAGAATATGTTCTCTTACCTGCTCAATCTGGATGCTATATGATAAATGTAAAGACCGAAAGCCATTTCATATGACATTCCTTACAGGCTGTGCACATTCACCCTCATATACGTGGTCCTCTGCCCCAGGCTTTGTGTACATGAGGCTGCTGCAGGCACAGACACATAATGTATCCCATACATGTCATTTATATCAGAGACACTACACACTTAAATAACTCCCTAGACAAAAATTTAAAGTTGAATATTTCAATCATACTGCCCCGCTTTATACAAGACTAACCTGTGTGTTTTCAATGCTTTAAAATCTTATACAACCTTTTCGTCATAAAGCCATATAAGTACTAAGCACACATTTCCTGTTTACTTACTGAAATAAGAAATGGACTGGAAACTGCAGCAATAATGCAAAAACGCTTAGAATATATATAAATAAATGCGGGTTTATTATTGATTTCTCAGAATGAAAATATATCAAGTTTCATACATTTCAGATAGAAAAAAAAAAAAAACACAGACATGGGCTTTAAATATTTTCTGCCCTATCCTTTCCTTGTAGTCCATTGAGGGACATAGGAAGTCTTAAAGTAACACTAAACTCAGGAGTTAAATCTTAAAAATACATTCAAGTACCTTCACTATAACAAAAATGTATCTTATTTGTGTATCACTCGGCTGTAGATCCTCAAATCATCTCTGAATTAGTGCGGACACTGTCCTTCCTTCTGGAGGGGGCTACTTTTCTTCCCCATGGTCCCTGTGTGTGTTGTAAAGTAGTCACCTCTCCAAGCTTGCTCCTGTGATGGACTACAATCTCACATTTAGTTTACTAATTTGTATTGAGATTGTAGTCCATCACAGGAGTAAGCTTGGGGCGGTGACTACATTACAACACACACAGGGACCGTGGGGAACAGAAGTAGCCCCCCTCCAGAAGCTGTTAGCAGCAGAGGAGTATCTGTGTACAGAGGAGTTGTAGCCACAGCGCAGAAAGCAATGTACAGGCTCAACATCATTCGAGACGAGGCATTGAGTACTCATGAAAACCTGGACATCTAGTAGCAGGTGAGAACATGCAGCAGGAATAAATTTAAGATCAAAGTTCCACATGACTCCTTGCACAGGAACAACTATAGGGAGATGCTTCCTTGAAACTGTATGACGGGAAAGGGCAGTGTGTGCATCCGACATTGCACCCAATGGAATGACATCAGGAATCTTTCCCCCAACGCTAACCCCTTTCACAGCAGAGCCGGCAAGAAACAGGGAATAACTGCATGCAGTGGCTATGAAAAATGAGGAAACTCCTGATGCCCAGACCTAGAAAGCATCTGCAGCCAACTGAGCCAGGACCAGTCTGGAAAGCACCCAAGATCCTCCTAGGACACTAGCAAAACTGGTAGTATGAGGGGTTATACTCTGACTAACCTACAGTTTTTCTGTTCATCAGTGTCCATTCCTCTTGTATGCAGCAGTTTATCTCAAAGGTTTAAGGCTTCCTGTGTCCGTCAGTAGTTGGAGCTTCAGATATATTTTAATTATAGACAGACACCCAAAAAAAAATACACATAAATAGAACTCCCCCTTCTCCAAAGATCACCTTTTACCTGATCTCCGTGGTCCTCTTCTTACTATGGTCATCAAGGAGCCATTTATCTGATCAACAAGTAAGATGACCCAACCCCTGGATAGTATAGCAGGCACACAAGGCTGAACAGACTGAATAAGTGCCTCATGCACCAGGCATCTGATTGACCAGCAACAATATGGCAAGCCAACTGACTTTGCAGCAGAAGTATAACTTGTGCAGCTCACCAATGAATTCCTCAGTCATACAAGGTCGAAGTCATTTCACTGCTGATGAGCAGAATGAGGACCACAGTAACTTAATAAGGCAGTACTGCAATCAAGAGGTGAAGCCATTACATGCAACAAAAGTGAGAAGCATTTCATTGACTTTGGGGGGTTGGGTATTCATGTACAGGCTTCCCTTACTCATTAACAACAACTAAAAGCCTACTTTCACGCCCCTACTGCCATACTGCCTACTGTTGCTTCCTTTTTCATCCAGTAGGAACGCACATATCAATCAGTTTCTATGCAACTTCACTTGCTTATTTGAGATTAAATCAGCATCATTCTGGCTATTCACTGTGGTGAGGGTGAGTGAACCTCAAGATTGGATCAACTGAATTAGAAAAACAGAAAAATTGAAAATTAGAAAAAAAAGAAGAGCGCACATGTACTGTATGTATTTCAGTGTGTTTAATGGTTTTATACGAGTTCAGCATAAAAGGAAATCTTCCCCCCCCACAAAAAATTTTCTGTTCCCCTGTCCACACTTCTGCCAGATCTACGATGTGTGGCCCATGCGGAGCCGCACAGCCACATCTGCAAACTCTGTGGTTGGTCCCTTGGTTTGGCACCTGAGCAGAACAATCCTGTTTATTCTTATAGAGAACCTGTCTATCATTGGGACGTATGAAAAACAACCTCTCTATAGCAATTTCCTCTATGACTCCGGCTTACCAGGAGTGCAGACAAAGGAATATGTAACTTTTGGGGGGTGCAGGGGAGGGGGGTGGGCTATGTAATTAAAGGGTAACTATACAAAAGCTTAGTAACCTAATAATAAAAAAAACATTTCTGCATAGGTATGTTAACTCTGAATCTGTTATTAGCTCAGGCACAGTGTTCCTATAAATGACGACACTAGAAATATCCTTCTGTTAACATAAAACATAATGATGTGAAAAGTGTGCTCCCGCTTCAATTCTCTACATTTCTGACAAGTACATTTGATCAAATGTTTCTGTCCGTTCCAAGCACATCAAAAACAGCTAAATCGGGAAAGAGGGTAAACACATTTTTACACGGCACTGTGCATATATCTATTCCTGCCAGTTTCCTTTGATATATTACAATGAAAAGGATTCAGTACTGCAGGTAGGTCAGGCAACGTAATACGCTTGGATATAGGCACAATAAGTCATATGGTTTGGGGTGTTTGAACTATTGTAAAATACAAAAAAATGCCATTTTGGGAAAGTAGAAGATGAGCCGTGTGAAGCCAGCGTCGCCGGTACAATATGTGATTACAGGAGAGGGCTCAGCGAATAGACAGACGTCTCTCTTCCTTGTTCTTCTCTAATATGAACGCCACGTTCTGTCGGAGAAATGACAGGAAGCGGTAAGGAGCAGGGGCTTCTACAAATGCTGCCAGCGTTTTACGACTGAAATCATCAGCTCTTTACCTGTCTGTTAAAAGCTTTAGCCATTTCTGCGATGCTTATTCCGTACTGCATGAGAAAAGAGACAAGCTTATCACATCCTTGCTCTGATAGCTGAGCCCAGAATACCATTCCATCCAGCCGCTTCTAATACCTCATTTGTGATGCTGCAGTCTGCTCCACTCTCTATTAGTAAGCGCACCAAGTCTTCATGGTTATTTAATGCTGCAACCTGCAGAGTCACAGAGAAAAGGAAAATGAAAGCTCATATGGAGAGCTGTGCCATTATTTTTGCTATTTGTACATTACCAGGAACAACAACATATATAAAAGTCTGTGACTAAGAGCACAATATAGGGATTCATGTATGGGAAATTGTTGGAAAAAGGCTGTGATGTGCAATGCAATTTTATCTCTTACATTAATTCAGATTAAAACATTAGGAGCGGTTCCACCCAAACAGCTATGTATACAGGTAAAAGGAAACAATAAAATAATGGAGCATTTTTCAACAGAGCAGCCAAGAATATTCAGATAAACACATGTGGAAAGGAGCCTGGAGTTCCATCTGCTGGAAATAAACATGAAACATGCATATACAATATTTCATATTTACCGGACAAAAAATATGGACAGTTTAAAATATATACAAATTCACTTTAAACACAAATATATACACACACACACATATACATTTATATATATATATATATATATATATATATATATACACACACACATACATACACATACATACACACACAGTTTTACTGGACAAAAGATTTGCAAAGTAAAGCACATACTCTCACGATCCGCCCACCCCTGACATGATATAGGTCTATATCATTAGAAGAGTGGCATAACTGTTCACAAACTGCAGTTGTGCAAAATATAAATCACTGTCAGACCTCCTGCCTGCAATTTGGACTACTAGTCATGATTGCCCCACTGGTGATGCATACCCATGCTCTCCATGCCACTTATAGGTCCACTAAATGGCTACTTCTAAACCTCTACCCCCATCAGTTTACACAGCAGGCCCATTGTGAGCTCTGTTGTAAACTGATTTATATTGTAAAGTGCTGCACAAACTGTTGGCGCTATATAAATCCTGTATAATTAAAATAATAATGATCTGAACTCTCATCTGGTTTGAGGGAGCTCAGGATTTCATGTATTACACTGGTTGAGCCGAATAAAACTTTTCAAGAAATAAAAAAGTAAACTAAAAGATTTGATTGGATTGGTTCTCTAAAGCCCAATCGTAGCCAGCTTGACAACCAGTTTGTTTAAAACCATGTATTTATAAATGTCTTACTTTATTAGTGAATTGGGCTTCAGCATCAGTCCAAAATCCTCAATGCTGTCTGAGTCTGAAGAGAGAAACTATGCACTCTGTGTAGAAGCCATGGTCTCTCTGCAGCAATCCAATACATGACCTACTGAGTCAGTGTTCAAGCCAGGCAAATCAGCAGAGAAGATGAACTTTGCTGATTGCCTTGTTCCAGCTGTGAGCTATACATTTTAAAACACACTAGTAATCACCTTCATGGTTATAAGCTCCTGGGACCTTCCTTAATAAACCCTCCCTGTCCTAATTGCTAAAAACAAGCTCCTCCCCGTCCCTTAAATCCTTTGCGAACATTTCTCACATGTTCCCATATGTAGTCTTTTGGTTCCTCCCACATATTGCAGTCATCAGTTACACTCCAGCAAGCATTGCTGGATTTGCACATATTACATTGTTTAACAAAAGGGTTTTTGTGTGTAACATTTAACCCAAACCAATTTTTTTTTGCTATACCGTCAATCTGCCCGTCGGTGGTCTGGCCACCCATCTTTAAATATTACATATTCTTAACAAGCCATAATGAGCTTTAAAACGACACCTCATTGACCTCTGTATTTTCCCGCTCTGTGGAGCAATTGGTCCTAAAATGTTTACAGCAGAAGCACTTTTACTTTTAGCAGCTCATTATATTCTGCTCCCCTTTCCAGCAGTCACATGCCAGCCTCCTGATCTCACATATACAGAGCAGGTGCACAGTAAAAGAGGATAGAGCAGGCTGCTGTGAATGACGTGGGCAACTTGTAAAAGTGTTTCTTGTAAAAATTTAGGAATGCATTGCTCAACAATGCAAACAGCTAGAGAGGTCAGTGGGGGTCATTTTAAGGCTCATGTACTACCCGTTAAGAATATGTAAATAAGTGAATATCACTTTAAGATCAACCAATGATCCCTATAAATTGAATGTATTACTCCCACTCCTTCCTCATGTGTAGTTATAAGGGGGCCTCCTATTTTTTTCTTCCTACCTTTACTTTGACTTTCATTAATTATTAACAACTTGGCCCTCCTTTATCCTCTGCTCATGCTTTGGAAACTATGTTCTTATTTTATTACTTTTCATACTTTTCCAATTCAACTGCCTGCTCCATAAACTTTTCTCACTGCATACAATTTTCTTTTCAATCTCGGGAACTGTCCCTTCAGGATATTTTTAACCAATTTCTTATAATGACGACAGCTATTTGCCTGTAAATACTCATCGTAATCAGTGGGTATGTAAAAGATGCTTACTAAGATCTAATTTCCTGTAACCTCTAAAAGATTACTATGGTTTGACTATAGGTGCCAACAAAGTCAAGCTGCCATTCCTTAATATTATCCCCAAAGTGATTTAAATTGCCCCCTATGCTGCCCCATATACAGATGGAATCTGCTCAACACTGTAAAAAATAATAATTTCCCATTTTGGATTACTACATATCCCTTTCCACACCCTCATGAATAGGCACAGATAAAGCAATTTTACAGCCCATCGCCAAATCTCTTCTCTGCTGAATCTACTGGTTGTTAAAGTGTGTAAATTCTAAATCCATTTTTCAGTATGTATGGCATCATTGACAAAAATTGATAAAAAGACGTAGCCAAATTACAGTTACTGTGAGGTCAAGTGCAGTTTAACACAATATCTTCTTCAGAGGCGGCTCTAGAGTTTGCGAGGCCTTAGGTGAAACTTAAACATGAGGCCCCACTCAGGCCCACAATGGAAAAAAAAATGCAAGCAATAAAAAGGAAAAGGTATAAATTGTACATACCAGAGCTCTGTGAGGTCCCACCAGCACCAGGGCCTCACCAGCCTGGTTAAACCAGGGCTCTGTAGGGTCTCACAAGCATGGTTAGACTCCTCAGAGCCCAAGTGAGAATCCGCAAAGCCCTGGTTGAACCAGGGCTCCGCAGGATCTAATCAGGGCTCTTTAGGGTCTCACCAGGGCAATGTGGGGTCTCACCAGGGATATATGGGGTCTCACCAGCCTGGTAAGACCCCACAGAGCCCTGGTGAGACCCCACGGGGCCTGGTGAGACCCTACGGGGCCCTGGTGGAGAGTCTCAGTTTGTCAGCGACAGGGCTGAGAGCTCATAACGTAACCTGGCTGCGAGTTAATGCGCCGACAGGGAAATCTAAGGGCCCGCGAGGCCCTTGGGAGTGCGAGGCCTTAGGCGACCGCCAAATTTGCCTAATTAAAGAGCCGCCTCTGATCTTCCTTATTATAGAAAAACACCAATAGTACAAACATAGGAAACATTGTACCAACACTTCCTGTTACAGGGTGACAACGCTAAGCAACTGTCTTCCAAAAAGCAGCAGCACTGACGTCCTGCAGGGCAAGAGGCTGCCTATCTGCTAGACCTGACAGGCAGCGCAACAGGCAACTTGACAAACTTGCTGCTAATTGCGGGGCAGTGGTATAGTGTTGTCATCTTGCAACAGGAAGTGATGTTATGTGCATATTTGTAGGTAAGAAACTTGACAGTAGATTCGAAGAAAATGATTCACTGTTTATAGTACACTCTGCCTCTGTTGGTATCAGTTACATTGTTTCCAGCTCTCTCTGTGAACTACAGAACACTTTCCCTTTGTTATGAAGAAGAAAACAGGGTAGTAGTCCATATCCAGAGTGAGCAGTGTTTTGTGACAACACTGCTCCATTCATAATATATGGTATGTATGTGAACAATTTTACCCTAGGACAGTGTGTTACTGGCAGGATCACCAACTGAAAATAAAGGAAAGATCCTGAAAAAAGAAAACCACATCTAAGGATATTGGTAAGCTGCAACGTATTACATTTTTATTTTTGGTCTCAATACACTTGAACTAAAAGCAACAGGATTTTTGTATTTGACAGAAAGCAAGGAACCAACAGCGAGTGTCTTACATTAAGAAGACCATTCATTGTGAACGGTCTGCAACACACCTAAAATACTGCATGCCACATAATTCATTGTTTACATCTGTGCGATGTGGTGTGTTACAATGCATGTATGCTGCAGTGTCTTTTGTGGGTACATTGGGGTGCTATTCAAAAGGAATGGCACTGCAATGCACTATATGCATTGCCATGTGTTACCATAACACACCAATTTGAACGACCCTGAAAGTCTGACCACATATTGCTTACGACATGTGAAAATATTGAGTTGTGGGAGACCAGGCCTGAAATTACCATTCCAAAACAGTGACGTTATATGAGAAGGGAACGTTCGATGTAGACAGAGTTCAACAGAAGTTTACCTTTAACAATGTGAAGGCCACAAAAGGAATTGTGAAAGGTTGCATTTGATGGTACTGTGGAGACGATGTACCATGACTCATCTACCTGATATCAAGAGTTCAAAATCAGACATAAAAAGGAGACGATGGTGTTCTTATGATGTATATGGGTAACTACAAGAACAATATAAAAGGAAATACTAAAAATCTCCGGAAAGGTCCTGCAGGCTAGGAACTATTAGAACAAAACAAATACAGATACCGTATTTTTCCGTCTATAAGACGCCCCCATGTATAAGACACCCCCAACTTTTCTTACCCAAAATTCAGAAATCAACATTTTAATCAACATATAATGCAGCACACTTACCTCTGAGTCAATCACGTTATGCTCCGACATTACAGCTCTGGTCACTGGCTACACGTTCCCCCCCCGGCAGCAGCTGCCGTCGGGTACAAAAGATTTATGTGTACTGTAAGATTTATGTTCGGATTACAGAGACAAGATAACAGTTTTCTTCCACTCTCCCCAGCAACAGCTGACGTCCGGTACAAAAGATTTACGATTGGAGGAAGACTTGTCTTGTCTCTACAATCCGAAGTTTCACTCGTGAGACTAGTTTGCAGTGGTATCGTCACTTTCGCAACCGCGGTTCTCCTCTCGGCCCCCGTGTATGAGACGCCCCTCTATTTTTGGGTAAACATTTTAATGAAAAAGTAGCGTCTTATACATGGAAAAATACGGTAATATTTCACTCAGGTCAGACTTTAGCAATAAATACTGTATGAATTACCATCAAGGGGGACTTGCCATCTCGGTCCTTGGCATTGACTTCAGCTCCTGCGCTGATCAAACAACGCGCAACATCTACGTTTCCAGTTACAGCACAAACTCTCATCAGTGGAGTCCAGCGTAAACGCCTGTCTCTGGCATCCACCTAGGAAAAGAGTATATCCACAATAGAAGATGAGCTTCAAAATTAGATAATAATAATAATAATCAGCAACAATAACAGTCTTGAAACATAATAATGATAATAATATATAATAAAGCAGAAGAAGATGTTATACTTACCTGCGTCGGCAACAATTTGTAGAATCTCAGGTTTGTTGCAGAGCAAAGCCACCCAAAAAAATCTTCATATCCAACCTTTCCAGGACTGCTAGATGCCTGGCCCCCTGCCATGATCTGTGGTTCCTCCTGCAAAACCCCCTACCTCCTTACTGGACAACATAGTGGCCGACTTATTGCTATCACCCGCTAGACATGTGCCATTTGTTTCGGAAAAATTTGTTTTTCAGACGAATTTTCGTTATGCGGAGATTCGGATGTATCCAAATTTCTGAATAACAGAAATGACGAATGAAAACGAATCAGAGTTGCGAAAACGGAATTTCGGACGAAATTCATTAACGGAAATCTGCACGCATTTTCGTTTGTGGACGAATTTTCGTTGCAGCAAAGTGGCATTAAAAAAAAAAATTTAAATATCACTTTGCTGCAACGAACGAAATGAAAATTAGTACAGGCTACCGTTAACAATTTTCATCTGAATCCCGAAACGAATTGACTTTCGGACCCCAATCCCGAAAAACGAAATAACGCACAATCCGAATCAAAAGGACAGTAAACTAAATGAATTTTTTGCCGGTGCACATGTCTATCACCTGTTATATGCTGAGAGCGCCGCACTCGGGACGGATCCAGACAATACTATCGAGATCCACCCTGCTGGCTGATTGTCAGCGGGCTCTCCCTATTTAGAGGCAAAGTCAGTTGTGCCTGCCCCCTCCCCCCAGTCAGTGCTGGAGGATTGGAGAGGGGAGGAATCCCTGCAGGGAGTGGTGACTGACAGTCACCGCTCTCTGCAGGGAGATGATCGGGAAAGTGAGGGAGCGGCGGGATGTTTTTGCTCACTTCCCGATCAATAGAGCCGACGTGTGACAGTTTCAATATCACATGTTGGCTCTAACTATGAGTGTAGATCACTCACCTCATAATTCTCCTTTTACTTTGATTATGGCACGCATTAGTTGTGGTGACGTTTCAATAAACTTTTGCAACGTCACAACATTTATTTCAGTCCAGAGTTGCATTCGTTTTTCACCAAGATCTTGTAGTGATGATGGAAGAGTCGGACGACTGCGTAAAGTCTTCTCCAGCACATCACAAAGACTCTCAATGGGGTTAATGTCTGGACTCTGTGGTGGCCAATCCATGTGTGACAATGACGTCTCATGCTCCCTGAACCAGTCTTTCACAATATGAGCCCAATTACTCCTGCCATCGTCATCTTGAAATATGTCCGTGCCATCAGGGAAGAAAAAAAAAAAATACATTGATGGGGACATAACATATAAAACATTAATCACTGCAGTCATTATCCAGTAGAAGGTACTATTTGCTTAGCTAAATTTAAGTGGTGAGTTTTTGGTTTTCTTTAGCCAGACAGTGTACATTTCTGCTCTGTATTTAGCAGTTTGCCTCCAGTTTTGCAATAATAATAATAATAATAATCAGAATGATAATAAAGACAAGTTACTAGGAGCAGAAAAACTATGCTTGAAGTGTAGAAATAATACAACTAATCGTAAGTATTTAATGGTGCCAATGGCTTTGTAAAACAAACAAACATGTTTATATGAAGGACACTATCTGTTGCTCTTCCATACATGAATATAATAGACCACCCAAGACCTCTCCATTAAAAAATGTCCACCACTGGTCTGCCACTGTAGCCATTTCAGGGTGTCTCATTGGGCCAGTTGGGTCTTTGGATATTTAGATGAGAAGTGAACTCCATGCTGAAGGTGACAGAACTGAGGACTCCAATTGGGAAATGTTACCACTGGAGTATCTGAGAAATAAAACAAGCCAGTGGACAATTCAACTCACTGGTGTCTGCACATAACTAAAATGGCAGATTGGGTGACCAACTGCACCAGTCTTAAGTGACTCCATCTACTGTCAGGAACTGTACCTCAGAGCCATGTTTAATCATCCACTGAACGACCTTCACATGACCACCATCAACCGCCCAGTGCATGGCAGTGCAGCCACTCTTATCCTGGTTCTCCCATGATGCTCCTTGTTCCTTTAGATACTTCCCAACATCCAGATGGCCGGAGAAGCAGGCCAGCATCATACTGCAAAGACAAAAAAAAACTCAGATGTTACATGTTTATCTCCCCCTATGTACTGTGAAAAAAAATGACCGGCGCTCACATGATTCTCCATAATGCACAAATCACCAGAGTAAAAATAATAGTTGATTATGTTTATGGTGGACAGAATTCATACACCACATGAGCTATTCAGATCAATCTAGAAGCAAGAAGATCATTTGAATGAAAGAGGTAGCATATACCTCCATTCACAACAAAGATGATAACTAAAACTAACTAAAGAAATCTAAAGCTGCCCCATGCAAACAGATGAAATACAAGAGCTGCTTTACCTGCCAAATGATTTTTGTCCATTCAGTCCTAAGAATTACACAGTTTTGCAACAAAACACCACCCTTTCTAGCAGGGCAGAAGACCTACTTTCTCTGTGCTGCAGTTAAGACTTTCGGTCCAACCGCACGGTGGCTGGTATGTGGTGCCCAACACTGACAATGCGCCAATCTTGGCATATTGTTTTTTTTGTCACAAGTGACATTTCATTCAGTTCTATGGGCACATCAGGGTGCAAGGAGGTTGTTCCACGTCGCATCCCACAGCGCTGAGAAAAAAAAAAAGGCGGCGGCATGCAATACTTTTTTCAGCTCACACCGCCACCACATTCCCACCGCAACCCAGTGGTGTGGATGGTGCCCATCCGTGATGAGGCAAACTGCATCCAGCGCAGCCCTGATGCATGCGGTGTAAATGGACTCTTACAGGTCTTGTCCCTCCTCCAGCCTGCAACTGGACAGAGAAAAGAGAAGCAGCAGACAGATGAGCTCATCTCTCTGTTGTCTCGCCCCACGTCTCTTGTTAGCACACAAGAACTGCAGCACAACTGGCTGGCTCCTTATGCTGCTTCTCACTTTCCTTGTCTAAATTCTGCTATACAAGGACTGCATGAGGCTAAAACCAAGTCAATTTCAGGTACCTGTATTGCTTGCTTTAAAAAAATACATTCAATTATATATTAATGAATGCTGAGCTGCATTCATTTGTGTCTTTTAGATCTGCCTGGAGTTTGAAACCCAACCATGGCTTTGCAGGCCTATACTTTACAGTGGGGATTTCCTTCAAGGAAGTAATTTTATACTGATTTTACAGGTGTCTATACAGGTAAGAAGACGTATAAAATGTGTGCTTGCCATTCTAGGCCTGATGGGTTTTTAGTCTGCATTATAAATCTGAACACAATTTGCTCTTTTTCATGTAGAAGTTGCTTTGCTGCCAGGAAGGAAGATGAGTTCCCTGTACTGAAATAAAAACATGCACTGCAGTTTTCTGGGTGCTGCTGGAAAAAGAACAGGTTTACAGGAAGGCGAGAGAACATTGGCGGAGCCGAGTGATGTTCCCGTGGTCAGGCTCTCTATCACTTGTTTACTAAACACCTGATAGGGAATAATCTCTGAAGACACATGGCTGGCCATGTGAGCTAAACATACAATTTTGCTGCAGGGAACCCGGGCTGTCTGTTCTATCTGGAGCACAGTGTTCCGTCTCACTATATTGATGTAGAAAGGTGAAGTGCAGTAGATAACACTTGGGTATATTGTATGTGCATACCATCAGCAGCTGGACAGCGACAAGTCCCAGCACACCTGAGACGGAAAAGATATATTAAAGTGGACCTAGTATTGGATATACACTGAGTGGCCAGATTATTATGACCACCCCATCAGTACTTCGTTGGGCCACCTCGTGACTCCACGAGATGTTGAAAGGTGATGCGAGGAATCTGACACTGCACTGTTGCCCTTCTGTTGTCTTGTACCAGTCTTGCCACTCTCCGTTCTGCCCTAACATTGACTAGTCGCTGACGGCCACAATTCGCACGTTCAGACCCAGATTTTCGGCTGACAGTCCAGTCTTTAAACACTTTAACAACAGCTGCTCTTGAACATTTAACAAATTCTGCTGTTTTGCCGATACTCGCGCCATGGCTCCGAGCGCCAACAATCATCCCACGTTCAAAGGCTGTTAAATCGCGTTGTTTACCCGTATCTTCAGAAAAAAAATCACTTCTACTGTCGTGGTAAACAACCTGCTTCCCTATTTATAATGGTCTGGCTCTCTAGCAACTTCAGCGCCAAATTATAGCTAATTATAGCTAATTTGCCTACAAACGTCAGGTGGTCATAATAATCTGGCCACTCAGTGTATTTCTTATGTGATGTTTATGTGCCTGAGAATGCCTCCATCTGCTTTTCTCTCAAGACTCAAGACTGAGATGCCACTGAGATGATCAGATATGACACAAATCCTGGCGTCTTTTTTTGGTTGCTTTCATAGATGACTGACATAGATAAGCCCCTGCTGCATTCTCTCACCTTGTGACTTGATAAGCCCCTGCTGCATTCTCTCACCTTGTGACTTGCTGCACAGTTTTTAAGTACAGGCTGATGACTGGGGGAGAGAAGACGAAGGATATGATACATCCTGTTTGCAGCAGACCTATGACCAGGGCCATCCCTATAGGCCGCCGGAGGCATTGGTAGAGCGGGGGAGGAGGGGTTGTGGTGGTGGTCATTGGGTGCTGCCGACAGTACTGGGGGGGTGGCGATGGGTGCTGCTGATAGTGCTGAGTGGGTGCTTTGCAGTGGATGTGTTGGGAATGTCCATGGCATCTCTGTCTGGTCCCGCCCAGCTCACTGACATAACTGGTTGCCAGGAGCTCAGCGGGACGCCAGTCAGAACGTCCCACTCACCTCCCTGGCGACTGACGACATCAGTGAGCTGGGCGGGAAGCCGGGCAGAGCATCACAGGTTGCTCTTAGCAACCTAGGAAGCTGTGGCCACCCCTCTGCCGCCCCCTGATGACATGTCGCCTGAGGCTGCCTTATTATAGGGACAGCACTGCCTATGAGATCATCTCAGCCTAGGCAAAGTCACATGACTGGAGACAAAAGGACTGCTTTTTCAAATGAAAACCGTAAAAGATTTTTTGATGAGTGACACGCTTTCTATATATTGTATATTATACAAAGTTTTAGGGCTTTATTCAAACTATCTGGTCCATTGCTGTGCGTTTAACGTACATGTGCTATGTTGCGCATGATGGTCCCTGTGTTAAGGCAGCATATTCAAATGAATAGGCTGCCAAAGGACTGGACCTGTACTATTTTTATGTAACGCAGAGCACCACAACGTAATATTGAATTAGTGAGTGTCGCGGTGCACTGTAACAATGATGCATTGCTTCAGTGCATTAATAAATGGCAGTGTAACACACTAACATATGTAATGCATACCACAAGGCATAGGTGGAAATAAGCTATAAAGCATCGGAAAGGCCCACTTTGAAGCTAAACTCCTGGCAAAAATTAAAATGTACTTTAAATGTACTGTTTAGATTCGTCATTACATTATTTCACTGTTACAAAGAAACTACCATAAACTCTACATTCCAACAATAGCTGAACTTTAGCTGTCTGAATGTGATAAATTACTGAAATGGATCCATCTATAAAAATGAAAATGCTCAGAGGTCCAGCAGCCCTGAAACTGCACAGCCACCAGACTACAAGGCTAACCGATATACAGCCGTGTTTAATAAAGTACTGCAAAGTGCTTATAATCCATAGCCATTTGTATTATTTTCTATACTGTTGTCAGAGGACGGAGAATGAAAAATTCAGTGTTCTGCTATTCAGAGACCTGGGGACTTGTACATTCCACTTTGACTTACTAAAGAAGCTGTATAATGAAGACACACTATACATTTCATCTTTCCTGCTTAAAGTGTACCTGCACTAAATTCTACCAAAGGATAATGACATAAGGATGTTATAGTGAATCTGTGGCCAAGTTACTGACATTCAAGTATCTGCCCTGCACGTCCGTGCGGGTGTCCGTAATTGTACGCCGACAGGATGGATCCTGCCTGCGTCCAAGCCAGGACACCCGCACAAACCTGCACTTGGGGTGAGCGTAGGGCGGCGTATGGCCACACACTCCCGTAGAGAAGGACGGGGGCTGCGTACTAATAACACACAGCACCTGTCCTTCCCGGGAACTGCCCGATACGGCTGTGCACGGAGCTGTACGTGGCGGCTTTTTCTCGTGTGAATGAGGCCTAAAACCAGCCCTCTGTAGCAGCAGTCATTGGGGGGCAATATATCATTGACACTCATATGAAAGACACTGCAGTTGGGTTCCAATTGGCCTCTCAGCACCCAACTTCAAATTCTTTGTTATACATTTTGAGAATTAATTGCTGCATAACGCCTGCAGTTACAAAGGCTTGTTTTAAAGCTCTTTTACTGTTCGTTAAGAATATGTAAACATATTTGAATTTGCATAGCCTGTTCCCCAGGTTCACGAAAGTGCCTGCACTTACCTTATGACGTCTTCTAGAACAAAAATTTGTATAAGAAACCCACACATCCCTGCTGCCCTGTTCACCCACCTTAGCCCTGAGAAATAAGTTATGTTCAGAGGTTAATTAGGGAAAATGACCCTCCCTCTGTCCACATGATATCGCTAAGACCTGGTGAATGGCCAACCAGGCACCCAGGGCTGCATTGTGAAAAAAAAGTGAAGAGATTCAAATGCTCCCCCATACACAGAAGCATTTGGCACTTCACAGGGATCCAACTGAGGGCAACGGGGAAATGTGGTGTAGCGAAGTATAAGCATAGAATAGACTTTGCTATCAAGTGATCCTCTTACTTTGCACTGAATAAGCAAAGTACAATTCCAGCTTTGGACAGAGAAAAGGCCTGTTAGATTGGCTTTGGGTTTGTGTCGATTGAGTCAGTTTGACATTAGTTGGAGATTAATAGGAATGCAAAACCAATTTGAAGAGAGCAAAAGCACCTAGACACAGGCTGAAAGGAAAGCTCAGAACCTCAGATATCTATTTCTTGGGAAAATGTGTGTGTGGTCACTGGGACGGGGGGATAGATGGTATGAAGATATGAACAGCACTAGTGTTTACTTCTAAGCCAGATTCAATTGTCTTAAGAGAAACATAGTGGTTAGCATTGCTGACCGCTCACTCTGAAAATTTTAACTGCCTGGCTGTCATTCTGACCTTCTGGCATGAACACGGCGAGTCACTGACCCAAATCAAGTATCCAGGTAAAGTTTTCGGACTTTTCTATGGTTTTCCCATCTACATGCCTGTTCTGTATCACTCAATACAGTGGTACCTCGGTTAACGAACTATGCTCCACGATTCTGGTCGCGAACCGAATTGGTCGGGAACGGAATCAAACTGTGATCAGACCGCCATCTCGACTAGAGGAAGCCACGACCACGTGTCAGAGTGGGGAAGATGGCTGCGGTTGTGTTTGTCACCGATGCGGAGTTCGCGAACGGAAGCTAACCGAACTGTTCGCGAACATAAGCGTTCATGAACCGAGGTACCACTGTATAATGGAGCCACAGGGTGTGAAGGGAAGAATGGAGAAGTGAGTGGAAGAGTGGAGCCAATCACGTAAAGCACAGAGCCTGCAATTTGGCAAAGTACAACCTCTGCTCGCTGTATGCGCATGTACACACACAACTTAGTGTCTAATGTTCATTAGTTGGTCACACTGCAGTAGAATCATGAAGATCTCTGCATAAAAGTATATCGTAAATGTATTCTTTACTTTGTATTGAGTCTCTTACCGTCTGCTCAAAACTAATTTAAATTACACTAAATATTTTATCAGCTCCATATCCAGGAAGCCAACACTGTAGACAAATCAATTTGATGTACCAGCATGTCTGTAAGTAAATGGTTTGTCATACAATATGTACATTGTTATCTAAAACACACAGATTGTGCTTCCTATGAATAGACAAACAAGCTGACTGACACATTTCTACTATTCCATCTGCTGCAAACTCTATATCAGATGTATCGGCCAGCTGTAGTGCATGAAATCAAATTCCATACCAATAAATACTCCCCATACTATTTGCTGCCTTGTTGCCCTCTGCTTCCTTCTGCTTGCACAGGTACTTTTAGAATCCACTACATGGCAAGAATATGCACTGAGTTTATAGGGAGGATATTCAATAGAAGGAACATTCCGTAGATACAGCTGTGCTGGGCTCCTTTGCAGTTGCTTCTCAAACCTTTGATCACATCACACAAATAAAAGATGACGTCACACATGTAAAAGGAAATTTTGTATCATCTGCAAAACAATTCAAATGCTTTGTAGAGCACCCGGCAGACGCGGATGATGAAGACACCGGCACATATACCACTTTTGCAAATTTTCATATGGCAAGTGCCTTAGACATCAACTGAAGAATAATTCACTGGCCTTGTCTTCTTACAAACAAAATGCAGCTCTGTCCTATCTTTTACATGTATTAAATACTTTTATTTAATAATTAAAAGGTTTGGATCAAGCAATAGTGCCCCTCATTTGCCACACAAAACAATCCGTGATAAAGTACATGTTTGTATGCCAGACAGCTCGGGCCATAAGAGGTTCTCTATTTTGAGGCCAAAGATAGGTCAGTGGGCCAGTAGCCCCCATTAAAATAAATGTCTCACCTAATATTGTGGGAGTCCCAAATGGACTGTTGCACGGTAGCATCATCACCAAATATCACTCCAAATCTCCTGTGGCTTGCAGTCAGAGGCAGCAGTGCCATAAATCTCACTCTGCAGATGTACAGCTATGAGGAGCACATAGGCACCCTCACATAGCAGAAAATGCTGTGTGAGGGTGCCTATGTGCTCCTCATAGCTGTTTTCAGGAGGATTCTAGACAGAAGGTACATGGTTGAGGTATTACAAAAGGCACACTGAACATTTTTCAACGTTCCGTATAATACAGAAACTTTTCATTTTCTGAGTTCAGTCGGTAACACGTACCTGTTCTTTCCACTTCCGTTTTCCCGGGGTACATCTGCTCCATATTCAACCAGTAACTTTACCAGTCTAGGAAAACACAGCAAGACAAGCAGCTCAGCCAGAAATATATATCACATTTCACAACACAAAGATTCCCACTGGAATTAATGCAACATTAATCTTTACTATTGAAAAAGAGTGTAAGAGTTTAAACAATATACATCGTCCAGCAAAGTATTTCTTTCAATTTTTGCCCAAGCCTGTACAGTCATCATGTTTCCAGACAGCTGGCCCTAACTCTCCCAGCTCTGCTTCCCTGAACTTTTGGTTGAGTACATGACCACAAGGGGCAGAGAAGTCTACAGCAGCTGTCTACTAGCTTAGAGAATGGAGGAGGGAAGAACGGGGAGCAGGGGAGTGGCTTGCCTTTCTGTGCCGCCATGTTTGTGGAAACACATACAGCCTACCAACACACACAAGGGTGGCTCCACGGGATTCTGCAAGGGAAAGGAGCCACCTAAAAAACAGGATATCAGAGCCAGTGCTCATGGGACCAGCTGATTCTGCCGAAAGCCTTCTGGCAAGACTTGAGCTGCTTGCTTTTCTCTTCCAATATATGGTTTCAGCCTCTGAAACCCATTGACATCTATGGGAAATCAGTGAGTGTGTGAGGCTGTAAGTAGCTAAGATGATCCAAGTGTTGCCACTGTCTCAGAAAAATTCAAAAGTCTCCCTAAAATGGGATACTGTTTGGAGGTTAGGCCCCTGCCATTTGTCATCAACAGCTACTCCTGTTAGAAATCTACTCAATACAAACAGATTTTTTTATTTTTTTTTAGCATATCAATTTTCATTATTATTATTGCAGGTTACATAGTGAGGAGACATTTTCATGAAGAAAGCAGAATGTGTTCACAACATGTGGTGAGGATAAAATACAGGACCATATACATTGCCACAAATTTAACATGCGTGTGTGGCATAGGGAACTTCACCTTAAGATATGTAGTCCATAGATCGCTATGTGAAAACAGGAATAAGGAAATCATCAATTCAAAGAAAGATTAAGAAAAAGATAGATATCAATACTGTAACTGATCCTGGATCATTCAAGTGAATGTTCTGATGAAAGGAAATCGCTGGATTAGTGGAAGGGGGGAGAGATTGTAGAACCACTTTTGTGTAGAGAGGGCCTAAGGAATGTCGGGGAGTCTTAAGGATGATCAGAGAACATCTAGTGCTCCAAGGGATCCGTCAAGTTTGGTGCGGAGAAACCATGAGGAGTATTGGAAGGTAGTCATAATATCCTGTAATTGATGTGCAGTGAGTTCAGACGTTAAATACCTGGACCAGATATCGAAGAATCTACCCGTGTGATGAAGATCGAACTGTGCGCTTAGTTTATCCAGTAGCACGAGTCTGTGAATTATGATATTGAATGTACTCCGTGTGGGCGGAGTAGGAGACAGCCAGTCGGTCAATATGGCCTTCTTCGCACTTAAGCTGCAGAGGTGTTCCCAGCGAGTGAGGGAGGGACACGGTGTGACAGAGTCTGGGGAAGGGGAGTGAAATAGGCAGATGTCAGGGGAAGGCATTCTCTGTCCGTCCGATTTCGTATTCATGGAGGCAATGATTTCAGTCCATAGGGATTGGATAAAGGGACATGGCCATATAAGGTGGGTTAGGTCAGGCAGCGGTAATTGGCATTCTGGACAATGGGTCAACCAGCCTGGAGGGTTATTGGCCGAGTTAAAGTTGAAGCCATAATAGGCTCTGTGTAGAACAGATTTTTATACTATCCATGGAAGCCAAATTCAGCAGACTTTTAATTTTAATTTAGGGTTTTTGGAGGATCAGGATTAACAGCAGTTAAAGCCTTTCACTGCCATTTAAACAAGAAGGATGAACAATAAACCCAATAATGTACCCTAAAATAGTCATAATGCATTGCCGTTAGAGTACACCTTAAGGACTAATAATAATAATAATATATAGAAATGAACTGCGCCGATAAGCAAGCTAACACCTACACGGCACTGGAATGTACACCCAATGTGAATGTGAAAAATAAATAACTAAATGTGCCGAGCTACAACAATGAGCAAAAGTATATGAATCAGATGTGAATTCTGTAAATGTTTAAAAATCTGAAGAGGTCCATATATAAGCACAATAGGGATAAATATTTCTTGTTCCTTCACCAAATGCACCACACCAGATATAGGAGTGCTCACCTTATTGATAGACCCCAACAAAAGGTCAGATCAGGCAATTCCCTTCTTAACCAGGGGAGGGGGCCCTCAGCTCCAATCGCTCACAGATGTCCTCCAATGGTATAATCAGACCAGCAGACAGATCTGTATATCACTTCTTTACAAACAATAACCTCCAATCTGTATCGATCTGTAGGCCTCCTCAGTATACAAATGTCAATACCAGGATCGTATTATCCAAAAAGACAAAGCGAACACCATAGCGCGTACCATCCAAACAGAGAAGGATTTATTATAAGAAAATTACTTAGAGATCAATGTGATGTCAAATGCTCCACCCTTATATTGTTTTTCTGTATTGCTCATTGTTGTAGCTCGGCACATTTAGCTATTTATTTTACACCTTAAGGACTACTTAAAAAAAAAAAAAAGTTTAAAGACTTCAAAAAGCTTCTTTTCACATTTGTATGTTGACAACCAACTGGTAGCTTTTATGTTCCTTGTGCAGGCAAGAAAATGATAGAATCCCAAGAGCAGCTGACATTTTTCTTATCCTCATGATCTAAATCAGTCCCACCGTGTTAGAGGTATAAGACATGTGATGTGTCCAGTAATTAAAGTCCATTCTACTGATGCTGGATAGACATTTGGGGATATGCATGTCCAAGCTGGTAGCTGCCATGAATTACATTTTATTTTTTTCTCCCTGGTTACAAAATAAAGATAAAGCGATCCTAAGGACACCAGATCTCGGTAGGATGAGGCCTTCTGAATGTGCCCCGCCCCCCCCGGCACCTTTCCGCATTAGCGCAGTACTCTCCAGCTATCTTTGCCAGACCCCATACCACCAATAACTGGAACCAGCTGCACCAATTACATAACATTCCTCCTGCTATCCTCCCACACATAGATTTACTGTATGCAAAGATTTCACCTGGGCAGAATCATTGCTGAAAACTGGATAGGAATATATACTGCTCCCGCACTTTCTGACTCAGATAACAATAGGAATTGAATGGCAGAATGGAATAAAATGCGTAAAAAAACTCTACCCGAGATATCCTTTCTGTGCAGCCACCATAAGGGGAGTGAAGCTCAGCTTATCAGGAATATCCACTTTCACTTGCCTGTAATGGAAGACACATCACAATATAAACATTCAGGATTCCAAAAATAATGCAGTAAAATGTATTTCTACTAGTAATGGTGCACCCATACGCAAACATCAAATATAAATTAATATTGACAATCCCAACTGCCCAGCTACCATTAGCATTGCCATTGTGATGCCCACATTTATCGTCCATGTGACTGTCATTGTATCGACCACATATCACCACAATCGCCTATATATTTTCACATTTGCACATGTATTACCACAGTTAAGGGCAGTGTCATCTTTGTAAGAGTTAAGACCAAGTCAGCCATGTTTATTTGGGAGACATATTACTACAGTTTTACCACCCTGCATGCTTGCGACTAATAAACTGGGTACCTAAAAGTGCGATTTTGGAAATGCCCCTAATTTGGTGTCATTTCCCCTGCAGAATCTCAGACTCACAGGGCTATAAAAGTCCCCAGGTATGCTCATGACCACATTGTGCGGGCACAGTCTGTTAGTAATTGTGATGTTCACTCTGATGAATAGTAATTCATGTTTATACCTCGCTTTCAATACATCATCTTCATGTATATATGTGAAAAGAAGGAGTAGAAATAACAGTAAAACTGCCACAAAACAGACATTTCTAGTATTTTGCAAATCAGTAATTAAGATCAGGAAATGTCTCACCCTTTACCACTATATAAATGTGTCTGGGACCACAAAATGATACGTCTTTATGTTGTGGAGAATGTAAAATGGGTGGGTCTCATTAGTTTGGCAAGAGAAAACTGGGCAGGGCTGACACCACTTAGTCCACAAAATGTTGTGTGTTGTAATCCCACAACAGGACTTATGAACGGAGTGTGTTTCTGGCAGATCAATAGGTATTCTTCTGTACTTGCAGGTCTTTAAAGCAGAACTACACCCTCCTACAGCCAGGCAAAGTGTTATATATATATAAAAACAGAGCTATGCTAAAATTACACCTTCTTATTCTTTACAACCAAGGAAGGTGCCATCTTAGCCTCTATGTGGATTGCTATTGCCATGGTGCTGTGCATGTGATCAGTTATGACACATAATATGTGGGCACCAGCCTTTTGAGGACTTGCACGATTGGTTGAGAGCGGAAATAAGCACACTGGCATCCTTGACAGAGGGCATGCCTTGAAATACCTCTGTTGGGAGACAGTTAAATTGGTGGGTCTAGTTCCCCTTTAAATGAATGAAACATGGGGAAATGTGCGTAATTTGTTCTGTCACACACTTTAACTATATTTTCACAGAGGAGGTAGCTGTTCCCAGCATTTTATAATTAACACAAGGAAATTATCATACCGAGTGCTGCATTAGCAAAAAAAATTGTCTCAGGTGACTGAATTTTTCCAGTTTGTGTACTTAAAGAGACCCTGTCAATAACTTGAAAAAATTGCAGATGGAAGCATAGAAAAATCAAGTATTTTAAATGCTTACTTGGAATCTTGTTCTTTTCCATAAATTATTTTTGTACTCCATTGCAATGTGATATTGAACTTGCTAGAAAATCTGACTACTCCAGAAGAGTCCATTTTCATAGCACAGCCACGCCTTCCTTGCATGTCATAGGCCTTTCCTGCTCTGGAAGGTTCTAAATTACTCTCTGTGCTGGCCCAACTTCATTTTTTTTAATCCGTTTTTTTTTATGTAGCTGCTGGGGGAAATTGGGTATATAATAAAGCAACCATCCCCAAAATGCAGTCCCCGGGCTGGATGTGGCCCTTAGCTTGCATTTATTCGGCCCTTCGGACACTATCCATACCACTGACACCAACAACGAGACACTATTCCTACCACTGACAGAAGTGATGGGGCATAATTCCTGTTCCTAACAACACAAATGGGGTAGAATTCCTCCCACCGACACCAACGACAGGGCGCTATTCCTCCCACTGACACCATAGATGGGGCGCTATTCCTCCCACTGACACCATCGATGAGGCACTATTCCTCCCACTGACACCATCGATGGGGCACTATTCCTCCCACTGACACCAACGATGGGCCACTATTCCTCCCTCAATTATATCAGCAACGGGCCACTATTCCTCCCCCCCAGATATCTACAATGGGTCACTATTTCTCCCATGGACACCATTGATGGGGCACTATTCCTCCCAATGAATATCAATGATTGGGAATGGTTTCTCCCACAGACACCATAGATAGGGCACTATTCCTGCCACAGATCCCAATTCAACTTTGCCTTTTTTTTTTTTTTTTTTTTACTGCTGCTGGTGCTGGGACATTTTCCACTCCCAAATGGCTGCAGTCTGGTCCCTCAAGTGAAAAAGACAGTGAACTGGGGACCCCAGCTATAGAGTGTTACTTGGGTCACAAATCTAAATCTCCTAGAGCTCCTGACATCACATCCAAGATGGCAGTGCCCGGTAGCAGTCTCAAGTCTTTTGGATACAGGGTAGGCTTTAACAGGTCAATAATATGCAAAAAAATACATTACCGGTATATGCAAATCTAATCTATGAGAAGATTTTTGGATGTCTATACAGGGGAGGCGTTAATAAGCCAATCATAAGCATAAAATATGTTAAATGCAAAAATAATCTTATGGTAAGATTTTTGCTGAAATGAAAGGCCTAGCAGCTAGATCTCTTTAAAGAAAAAAAAAAATGATGTGAGCCAAACAGTTTATCAATATTTGCATGTTAGCATGAACACAATCTGGTACTGGTCTTGCTGCTCTTTCTAGAAATCAAAGTATACAGTGCCAGCTTTGAAATGAACATTTTATAATGACCCTCCTACAAAAGGAAAGAAATACGGCATCATAAATGAGAAATAGTTCCTCATAAAACAGGATGGTGGACGGGATTCCTCTGTGGAGTGGAAGTGGATGGAGAAGAGGCGCGGAAGGGTATGATATAGTGCTCTCACATGTTATACAATGCAGACTTATTCCGCTGCAAGGAGACTACCACATACAGCACAATTCACACTCTTTACGTCAAGGTGCAAGTCTGACATCTCGAGGTGTTTAAACTGCCTCTACAATTCATAATGTTTGGTAATGCATGTTAATATGCTATAATGTGATTACAGAAATAATTCTTATACCTCCTGAAAAAACATCAAGCAAGATTCCCAACAAGTTTTGTATTTTTCAAAACTATGAATAAAAAAGGACAGAGCAATATAATGAGAATACATTATCCAGAAAGTGGAAGTAATAAACAGCTGCTGTATAAATGCTGCACTCACCTGGAATACCACCTACAGTCACCGAGGAACACTGCTACACTGTCAGAGACTCCACCGTTCCATTCAAAAAAATAAACATTATAAGCTGTGTGAAGACATGGTCATCAGTTTATGTGTTGTGTGTGCTTTGGTGCTGGGTTATTTTTAAGTATGTTATACTGTGTAACCTGTTTATCAAAAGACTGTCAGCACCAACACCCCCCACCACCACCACCCCCTTTAGTTCCCTTTGCACTCCAAGGAGCACAGGTCAATGACATTCTCCTGCATCTGGCCAGACTCCTGCTGTGACTGTCTGGGCGGGGTTGTGCAGCCAATGCCTGGGGAGGACAGGGTGTATGTGATGGGATTATAATCTTATCTGATCACTTTCTGGATAAAAAGGTTGCACAGTTGCTCAATAAAGCAGAGTTTGTTTGAGCCTACACTTGGTTCCGGCTAGTGATTGGGGGGAAACTGGAAGCTAAAGATCACTGGGCTGCAGCATCTCCTCAGCAAGGAAGACTACAGCGGCGGACATACTCATCCTGAGTACTGGAGTCCGTCATATGCTGGTCCCCATGTGATCATATTATTGGGACATTTATCTTAAAACCCAACTCCGGGTAATTTTTAAAGTAGAATTCCGGGTAATTTTTTTAATTATTATTAACTCTTGCAGTGGGGCTACTCCCGCACTGCAAGGATTAACTGCTCATTTTGAAGGGTTAATGAAACTGGAAAAAAAAATTACCTGGAGTACTCCTTAACCTTTTTGCTGCCAGCGACGTATACGTCGCTGGCAGCGGGCCCCTTTAAACAGACTAAAGATACCGGGACTCTAGTTACATGTGTAAAGCGATTCTGGCAGCTGAGCTGAAGTGCGCCCCCACCTGACACCTCCGGCTTGTTTCCCAAGCTCCGCTGCCCCTCCTGCGGGCCTGGGACAGGCATGTCGGGTGTCGGCGGGAAGCAGGGAAGGACACCGACGAATATCCGTTTGCCAATCTCCTCCCGCTCTATGGGACCAGAAGCGACGCTGATTGAAACACTTCCGGTCCCTCAGCTGTCATTACTTGGCTGCAGAAGCCAGGCAATAAGCTATTGGAGCACGATCCCAAGAGAAGGCTCAATGATATCACCCTTGTCTTGAGGAAACAGCCACAAGCCAGTCTAAAAGCTAGCCATAATACCCATCAATTCTTTTCGTTCAACCTGCGGGCTGAACGAAAAAAAAATTGACCAGATTCCTCCATCAACACAAAAAGCGTGTCGATCGAGGAATCCCGCTGTTTAAATTGTATTCTGACAGGGGCTGCCGCCACATATCAGAATACCAGATCTGAGCGGGCAGTTCATTGTCTGCCGGCTCTGATCAATTGAACATTTTCCAGCCGGCTCCTTCCATCGAGGAATGCCGGCTGAAAGGAAGCCGACGGCCCCACACACTGTGCGAATTTTAGCCGGTACATTCAAAACCTAGGCACCTTAAGATCAGCGACTTATTTTTGTCCAATGTTTTATCTTTTCTTATTTTTACTTAAAATGTCCTAATATTGAGGAAGGAGGCTACAAAAGTAAAACAAGGATTTTTTTTTCCCCAATCAGAAATAATTGCAGGTGCAAAAAGATTTTTTTTTTCTTATTCTAGCAGTAGGATAACCAAAGTGTCTTTAGATTTCCCATGGCTGTGGCACTTTACGTAGGCTTCGGTCAGCTGGCTGACAGAGTTCAAACAGATAGGGGTAATTGCAGTATCCATTTTGTCCAGCAAATATGCAGATTACC